TCTCTTGCATATCAGCTTGCAGTTGCTCAGATAACAGCTGAATGGTAAGCTTAGAGGACCTTCCTTTGTTCGGCTCTAGTACCTGAGTAACATCATATGGCACTGGAGCTTTAGCTTCAATGTCATCATTCTCCTTGTCCCATTTTACTCCCATCTCCGTCAAGTAAGCCGATAGGGTGTTTGCAAAGAACAACCACCACTTGTAGTTCATCCTAGTACGATGCATCTGTTCGTGCATGATGACCCCCAGGTTGAGCGGTATCCTCTCAAATAAAGCACACAACACTAGTTCTCGGTGTTGAGGGACATCAATTTTGTGTTGGCATGGCATCAAGCGATTGCATAGGAAGCTTAGAACTACCCGTACGAATGCGCTCATGAATTCTTTGGCCAAAGAATGGTACTCCACACTCCTATGCTTCCAATCTGCATCTTTCCTGGTAGGGCAAAAAACAGACTTAATGTGTGCATAATCAGGTGTTTTGCACATAGAGTCAAACCTGTCCGTTGGTGTGTGTGGCACCCCTAAGAGGCCTCGATGATAAAAGGGATGGTACAGCCTGACGAGGTGACTAAGCTTAAATTCAAGCCCAACCTTCTTCGCAAAAAATCTCATCATCAGCCCTACTCGCCAAAACGATGGATGTATCTGTGCCAAAGTAACCCGATACTTCAGGTAGAAATCAAGCACGACCCTATCAAGGGGGCCTAGTGCGAAAGGGTATAAGTATACATGCAGAAATCCATCAGCGGGGTCAGTAATACCCTCTTCCGGGGAAAGCGCCTGCAACGCTGCCCCCTCGCCCCATCCGCAGTCTCTCCTCACCATCTCCAGATGTTCCCCTCTTATCGAAGACATAGTCTTCAGAGTAAACTCCCGCGGATCCTGAGAACTGGGAGTGGAACTCTCCCCTCCCTGACGGGCAGGCCCTGAAGTAGCAGTCATGACTATTGGTAGAATTGGCAAACTGAAGCAGGGACATTTTTGCGCTTAAGGTAATGAAGGACTCGATGCCAAGGCGGAAGGGTAGCTATCTAAAATAATGGGATCTTCCAAAGAAGCAAGAGCCGCCCCATGTATATGTGGGAAACAACAATGATTCGCCTACCCAGGATAAGCCTCGGGAGGCCAACAACCTCGGTACGGATCCCGAGGTGGTACCCGACCCTAGAGTTTTCCATCAAGAAGAAGTTAGGCCCTAGAGGGTCAGCAACATCGTCTCCAGTTCTGAGATGGTACCTGACCTCGAAGTTTTACCTCGAGAAGAAAAATAAGCACTTTGAGCTCCGTCCACGAGGGCTCGACCTCAGGAAGTCGCCTAAGTACGAATAGCCCCTTCCTCAGAAACCTGCCTACAACACCTTGAAAGGTTATCTACGTCAAGCTCAAAGTAAAAGCTCCAAGTGCCCGAAGATGAATTTCACATCAGTGCTCTATCTCCACGAGGCTTGAGGGCCCCGATGATCCAAGTTTATCGGACCACTTCAGGCTTGATTCCGGGAACAACGATAAGCTCAGAAAGGAGCCATTTCTGTCGACCAAAGAACGAAAAAAATATTGATGATCGTCAACAGAGGCATACATTCAACATCTCTGCAAACGCACAAGAGTATACAAGAACATGGCAAAAATCAAAAGCAGAAGTAAAGAAGATGTCTTCATATTTCATAAATATTGGCTTACAACGACCCTCGGGGGTCCTTATATACAATCACAAAAGCCCGCAAGGGGTCCTTATACGGGAACAAAAAAGTAAAGGGATACACACACGTGGTAAAAGCCTAGAGACTAGTCTACTCTCGAAGGTCCACCTCCTTCAACAAATGCCTCCAGGCACGCATCCTCAGAAGCCTCATCCCGGCCTTCCGCACTGATATCCCTAAAGGATAGGTCGAGAAGCAGGGAGGGATGAAAAAATGACATAACCCGCCAAAGGTCGAGGACCCTCACTGGCCAAGAGAACCTCGGAGAGACAGCAAACCTGGCGGGCATCGGCCTCGCTTGCACGGCTACTTAGAATCCACTTCTTGGAACATTGAGTCATGCAAGCTACCATCTCGGGGCAAAGTGCTACGTCGAGCTGAGGTATGAAGGTGAGCAGTGGTGTATAATTCGAGCCCCCCTTGTGAGCAGCGGTATATAACCCGAAGAACTTTTTATGAGCGAGGAAAGTTGACCCCCGTATGTCATCATCTCGAGCCAATAGGGACAGAGGCAGCAGACGTAACAACAACCACAACAGCGACAGGACGACATAGTCGTGCCATGCAAAGGGCTACGATACGACCTATCGGAACGATGCCAAATAACCTTGAGGTCGTAGACTCCAAACATGGTGATCAACAATAGAGGAAGATGGTAAGAAGAAAAGGGTGAATAAGCAGATGAAGGCACTTGGATAGAAAAACAACGCCAGAACGTCCCCATTTATAGGAGATAACGACGCGGTCATCGAAGCCTTTGGAAGACTGACCGGTAGACGCAATTACTGCATTCTTGAATAACCGAATTGACGGCGGTATTTTCACCTTGTAGAACGGGAACCGACAGTGCATTGAATGATGTCGAAAACATAAGTTCATGGGATGTCCCAGTTACAGCAAAAACTCGCATCACAGGTTGCGTCATCGGTATGACTTCATCACGAGAAGCCCGAAGAGTCGGGTGTCAGAGTCGTTTCCCATCGCTTTGTTCTGGGAAACGCGGAGACTATCTGTATGTGGCGAAATCAGAGGGCATAATTTCTTGCTATCAAGTCACTTCAGAAGAATGTCTCGAGACCCCGCGGACGCGAAGTTGCGGCCGAGTTCCCTCCCTCGGGGCTCGTCAAGGCCCGACTCAAAGAAGACTAAGATCGAGGCTAGAGAAAAATAGGGAATTCCCAAGGCACACGGCTAAGTCTGACAGAGCCGGCCTACCCAGAGCCTGTATCGAGGCGTCGCGTCTAGCCGTCTCATCTCCATGCTTTTACAATTAATGCATGTTGTACCATAACAGGATTCCCCTCCTATATAAAGGGAATCCTTACCACTTTGTAAAGGGTTGTTGTTGCTCCAACCATTCTACACAAGATCAATAACAATTATCTCTCTCTCTCTCTCTCTCTTCTCTCTACTTACTCGCTCGAGACGACTCTTTCCATTTATTGCTTTCATACTTGTTCTTCTTTTATTGCTTGATATTGGCCATAAAGAGCCTTGTTGATTATATCCTAGCTGTTATTCCCTTCCCGGTTATCCCTAATAGCTCGAGCTCGAGCCCAGGCATTGACCTCGAGGCTTTCATCGATCAGTCTGAGGCCCGGGTAGCAAGCCCCTCGGTTTGATTACTGCCCCGTTTTAGCTTGTATTTCGCCAATTAAACTTCACATATCTAGCATCCACTGCTCTAACAACTGGCATAAAAATAGATCACGTATTTTTAGAGTTTCATTTACAAATTTAATTGTTATTACCATTTTCACGGTAAACATTATATTTTTATGATTGTTAAAGCTAAATTGTTTAGTTTGGTGTAAGGATAAAACCAGATAGAATCAAGAACCACAAAGTTCGTAATTTAATCGGTCAGATGAATAACTCACCAACCAGCCAAAAGCTAATTCAAGCATTATATATGTTTTCATCACTAAAGTTAGGTCGGCTAATGACCAAAAGCTTAGCCAAAATCAAAAGCACATTCAAATTAATATGGAGAACTGACCAAGAAAGCACAAAACTAAGCTGCATTGTCATCCACAATATTATATTGTCTAATCCTTTCCTACAAGATCCAACGATACAATTAGCTGCCATTTGTTTAGACTTCAGATTTGAGATGCTTTTGTTATGGTCTCATTCCTTGTTCCAAATCCAACGATTCCCTCTAGGCTTGATACAGTATGTGAGAACTCTTCTCTAAACCTTTGGAAAGGGAAAAATCTCAATAAAAAGGAAAAAGTTTAATATAATCAGGCCAGTCGAAAAGAAGAAGGCCCATGGTCTAAACTGCATTTGGGGAGTGTGATCACAATTTAACCAAAAATACAACTTTGTCAAAGATATCTAACCTTCATTAAACTTTTAAGAATAGGCTATTGACACGAGAAATCACTCTTTTCCCCTTGGTAAGGGATTGGAGATCGCCCTCGTCTAGGGTGGCAAAATGGTTTTAAAAAACAATTAAACACGTATATTATTTACTAAAAAATGGGTTGGATAATAATTTTTTTTAAAAACGGGTCAAATATGGATAAGAACCATATTATCCATTTAGAAAATGAATAACCAATGGGTTTAACTTCTACATTTGTAAAACCTCAAATGGAGTCTCCGAAAAGTGATCATATTCATGAAGCCATGGACATATTATGTTAACCTTTTTTTATGGGTCGGGTCGGATAATCTATCCGTTTTTTCATTACTCGTTCCATATCCGGCCCGACCCGACCATGTCCCATATCTGACCCGTCCGTCTGCCACCCCTACCCTCGTCCAACCAATATTATATTGGTTGCTTGCCCGACATCAACCTCTTCACCCACAAATTAAGTAGCAAGGGATTAAAATACATTAGCAGTCATGAATAGGCAAGACTTCTAATTCAGGCCCACAATGGGGTTAGTTGTGTGAATGAAAGATTTCAAATGTAGGTAAGATTACTAATCTAAGGAAGACTCAAAGAATACATATGAAAAGTTTGACAAGAAAATTAGATAAAATAGAAAAAGTAAAAGCTGCTAAATGTTAAGAAACTTAGGTCAAAATAATAATATAAAACAAGAAAATAGATGTAAGGAGAAAGAGATGAGAGATTCTTATTTCTTCCATGTATTCAAATGTATATAATGTGATACCCAAACCGTCTATTTATAGGATAATATTTAGGCAATACAAAAGAATGCCATGAACATGGTATTAACTATTGAGATCATGGGGAAAGATCATGGAGAATGTTATGGAGGTGTGGGAGTTACAACCATAATAGTAAGAAGTAGTGGGAGGTTAATGGAGAAGAATAGTAGAAGTAACTTCTTTAGGAGTTATAGACATCCACTATATAGTATAATATTTCATAACACTAAAAAGTTAAAAAGAAAATATTTATTACACAGTGATTGAACTTTCTCTATACTTTTGAACCTAACTCCTTTTTCATTTGACATTAGACTAGTGACCATAACTTTTGATCCAACCAGAGTTAAGACAGGATAATACTTTTTAAGTACAAAAGTTCAGAAACTTTGTGTACATATGAATGTTATGGATTTGCATTCTCATTTTGGATGTCGACTAGCTTCCCGTCTTGGAGTTTCCCAGTCCTCATCTGATCTACTGATTCATTAATTTCGTCTTTCTTGACTCCTTTTTTATCACGATAAACTACATATAAAATCAGCTGTGCTGCTCCTAATATAGTTCCGGCAGCATTTGGAACCTATAAAACAACACTTTTGTGAGATTTAATCTTAAGATTTGTCAATGTTATTAACTTTCTGGTCATGAAATGACCTAAGTATAAGTTACTGAATAAAATAAAAGCTACTTACAAAAATGAAAGGGTCCTTTCCAAGCAGGGAGAAGATTGACCATGAAGTACTGTTGATGAAAACAGATAGAGACAAGAAGAACGGCATGTACTCCACGCTTTTAGATTTGATCACCAGCCTCTGCCAAGGGAAAGAGAAGGAATGAAAGAAAATAACGTAAAAGAGTATCTTATTTGTTTCTTTCTTTTTTTCAAGCCACTTATTTTATCTAAATTTGTCTAATTCATTCAGATCATGTACATAATTGTAAATCATTAATGCTTGTACTAAATGAATTATGAAGGTGACTCTTTACCACCACCATCACCGCCAACCAGCTCCACTATCAGCGACCATGCATAACTATCACTGCCAGTCATTTCCACCATACAACCATCACACTGCAAACACACTTCCATCGCACAGGTACCACCCCTAACCACTGCCAATCTCCATCACACAACCACCACCACAACCCAATAACAACCACCTCCACAGCCAATCATCACTGGAAAGCTAGCTTTCACTTATGGCCACCACCGATACAACCACGTCTGTCAATTACAACTGCACAACCTCCACCAGCCAGCCAGCTCTATCAAATACAATAAATATTAGGCACCACCTCTCAACCATCAGAATCGACCAGCATCACCGTCAATTTCCACTACCGCTAGCTTTTAGAGCGTGCTTAATCAAACAATTTTTACAACACCATGTAAATTAAGATTTTCTTCAATATTTTGTTAATTATTACTTAGTATTCTATTTGAATTTAATAATTATAAATCTTAAAGTAAATTTAAATTAAACACATTCAAGTGCTGAGATAAAAGACATCCTTAAATATTTAGTGCTCAATTTTAGAAGAAATTATTTTATAGTAATAATTAAATATGTTTTCAAATTCAAATATTGTAAAAACATGTAAATAAAATCAGTGATATAGTTACCAGAGACTGACAAATAGACTGACATATATAAATTAGCCAACCAATGACAAAAGGTGAATAAAATGCCTAAAACTGGCAACACACGCAAATATATATTATAAACAAGCATACCTCTTGTAACCTGTCCACAGGGGCGGCTTAACAAATTCGGTGGACTAAAGCAAAATTTTACCAAGAGGCCTTAAAATTTTCTTGAAAAAAAATTTCATATATATTTTTATTCAAGTCTATTTTTCTAACTAATCTCTAAAAGTCAATTAATTTTTAATCAAACATTTTTTCAATTGACAATATAGCTAATTAACAGATGTGGATCTAGAATTCTAATTTGATGGGTTCAACCTTCAAAATTATGGATTCAGAATCTAATAGTTCTTATATTTCACATATATATCTATGTTCCATATAAGAAGTATAGAATTCAGTTGAACCCGTAGCTCTAAGGCTACATGTGCCCAGCTAATCAATCACATGGCTAAAAAGTTCTCTTACCCATTTTTTATAAAAATCTTAAACTAATTTTTATCTTGAGATATTAAATAATTTTACAGAAAACTAGTCATATCACCTACTATTAACAATAATAAAAAAAGGCCCCAAGCCTTTGCCTTAGTGGCTTTGGCCTTGAGCTCGCACTGCTGTCCACAACAAAATGACCAATCAGTAAATAAGACAACCTACATCTAAAGGTGAAGAAAATGTCCAAGCACACGAACTTAAAAAGAACAGATCATGAAGGATGACAAACTTAAAATTTTCTTACTTTTAGTCTATGTTGCTCAGACTCTCCAAAAATATTGTCGGGTGTGTATCGGATCCTCCAAAAGTAGTATATTTGTGGAGAACCCGAAACCGGCGCACAGTATTTTGGAGAGTCCGCGTAACATAACTTCTAGTACCCTATTGAGTATAATTACTTAGTATTCTCTCCGTTCCATTTTATGGGATACACTTTTATTTTTAGCTTATGAGATCTTTTTTTTTATGAACTATTTATCTCTGTTTGGACATAGATTTTGACTACTTTTTTTCAAACAAATTGAAAATATTGTTTGTTCATGGAATTTTATCAGTTTTAAAAAAAAATTGATCTAGTTCCACAAACTGGTTTGGACCAGTTTTTTGGTGAAACTTTTTCTTCCATTCACAAAACTTCAACAACACTTTTTTAAGTAAAATGCATGTCCAAACACAACTTCAAACCTCCAAAATTATTTTTCAACACAACTTCAAAAATTCTTTTTTCAAATTTCAACCAAATCTATGTCCAAACGCTAGCTTAGTCTAAGTATCTTTATTTTACCCTTAATAACATGACTTGTCGGGACCCACTTGATATAAAAGTTCATTGTTTATGGGTAGGGAAAATGAAGATATATGAAACTCCCACCATTATTCATTTAAAAAGGTATGTTTGGTGCTTTGCATATATTTGGCTAACATATCAAAAGTGTTCTTTAATTTATTAGATTCCATACCTAGTCAAACACCTTCACATATAATGGGACGGAGGAACATGCATGTGTAAGAGAAAGAGTACTTACCATTACAGAGAGAGGAGAACCATACATCATAATACAAGCAGCTGCAAAAGCAAAGCCACAAAAGAGCTTCCTTCTATTGCCATGAAATGCCAACATGGAAACCAAGGCCAGACTTGAGAAGATAGAAAGAACCACAAAGAGGTATCCGCAGATCTTGGCCTTCCCTTTCTTGGGGGAAAATATGAGGAAGATAAGCACGTAGGTTGCCTCCAGGCCAATGCCTATGGCACTGATGACAGTTACCAGCAGGTTGTTTGGTGACACAAAAGGTAAACTGTACCTGTTTGAATCACCAAAAGTCAGATTCCTAAATTAAACTCAATAACTTCTCAAAGAAAAGTGGAAAAACAATGCTAAACTTATTTTACACAGAGTATTAATAGGAGAAACATTAAAGGTTTTCAAGTTACAATGGAGCTACTTAAAGAAACTTACCAGGCAGCGAGCAAGCATTGGAGCAGACTTATTAGATAAGGCATGCAAGAGAACTGTTCTGTTGATTTCTTCCTAATAATCCTTTTGAATGTAATCCTGTATGTAGTGTCAAAATTTGATCATTTAGTCACTTTTAGCTTTGATGAGGAGAAAAACCAAATAAGAAGACAAAAATAGCACGCGTAAAAAAAAAGAACGAAAATTTTGAAGAATTCTTACAAGGGCGCCATGAAGAGTAATAAACCAAAAACATCTCCTATTCCAGGGAAAAAAGAAAAAAAGGAAAAGAGTATAATAATCAATATCCAGAAAAAAGTAGGAGTAAGCACAAGAAGATGCATGGACAATGAACAATCCCACCTAAAATTCCGAAAGTAGTGTGGAGAATTTTGATGTCTCTCATCTCTCTTCAAGCTACAAAACTGGAAATGAGCATATGATGCAGGGCTTGCAAGTGGTTTCTGGGTTTATATATGTCTAATGTAGACCCAAAAGGGGCTAATTTGTCTTTTACTTGCATGATTTGCAGTAGCAATAGTATGGGAGATTTGGTCCTTTTTTAATAAGCATTTGATATTCGGAATTCACTGGTCTGACGAATACATACGCATCCATTGTTCCATTAAAGGGTAAACGCTCCTTATCAGGATTTTTTCACATAATATTTTCCCACTATATCTTTCAATCATATATGTGATCTAAATGTTTGGACTTGAAAACATATTTTGAACTTTAGCTTTTCCGTTGCTGTAATATATTTTTACTTTTTCCTTCAGCATTAATTTTCTATACTTATATTATGGAAGAAATAAAAGGATTTGACAAAAAAAAATAGGAATAGTTCAAGTTCAAGCAGCACTTTGTGAATTGCTATTTCCAGTTAGTTTGGAATAGTGCAAAGTACTAGTACAGCTTTCATGCGCAATTATCATTTCATATACTCAAATATGGTTGACCTATACCAAAAATCTTGTCATTTTATCTCAAGAACTTGTCCACAAGAATGCATACTTTGTAAAAAACATGGCAATTAAGCTCATAAACACATAGATTATTGAAGTTCTCAAATCTAATTATCACAAGCTTATGTTTAATTCAATGTAGAAAAATGCCAAGCTAGTCATGTGTTAATTTACCACTAACATTATGTTATACTATTTGCTCAATTGAACTCCAATCTGATCAACTTGATCGACTCTTTAATGACTCTAAGACAATATACAGCTAAGGGGTTAACAACCCATGAAACTAATAAATTTTAACTAGTAATAATATGATAGGATTCACAATCTGCGATGCTAAAGTCTTGTGTCAAATCCAATTTGATTTTAAAATCTGTAAAAACACTCACCTGTAGAAGTTTTCAATCACTTCTTTCAACCATAATGTTAATTCATTATGAACTCAAGTTATAATTACTTGAGTCTTATGTTAGATAGGATCAGAAAAGAGGTTATTCGCGACAAGGTGGGTGTGGCCCCTATTGAGGACAAGATGCAGGAAGCACGACTTAGGTGGTTTGGTCATGTGAGGAGGAGCACAGACGCCCCGGTGAGGAGGTGTGAGAGGTTGACATTGGAGGGCCTACAGAGAGGTAGAGGTATGCCAAAGAAGAGGTGGGGAGAGGTGATAAGGCAAGACATGTCGCAGCTTCAGCTGACCGAGGACATGACCCTGGATAGGAAGGTATGGAGGTCGAGAATTAGGGTAGTAGAGTAGGTAGTCTAGAGTGTTCATAATAGTAGTATTGGCATGCAGTCTCGCTTTCTGTTGGTAGTAGGTTTTTATGAATATCCGTTGTTTTCTTTCATTGGTGATTACCTTACTATCTTGTTGTTTTTATTCTGCTTTTATATGGCTTTTTGGTATTGTCCCTTCTTATCTATATTTTCATTAATGTGGTGCTTATGCTTTCTTGAGCCGGAGATCTATTGGAAACAGTCTCTCTATCCTCACAAGGTAAGGTAAGGTCTGCGTACACACTACCCTCCCCAAACCTCACGGTGTGGGATAATACTGGGTATGTTGTTGTTGTTGTAGTCTTCTGTTAAATTTACAAGTCATCTGGAGCCCAATATGTCAAAGCAACTTTGGGTGAAACCCAAGCCAAGGGGAAGAAGAACAGAAGAGTTTGCTTTAATAGGGGCCCAATCCACCCAAGGTTTTCTCAAATTAATGTTGAATTTCGTTGGCCATGGATAGTAAAGTTGAAGAGGGTGAGAATAGGTGGACCGGTACAATAATAATCATCTAGGTATTTATCATATAGCAGAAATAGTCATGTTTCTACAAGTTCATAGATAGTGTATCTTGAAGGAAAAAATCCATAAAACAATGAGATAAATAACTTTAGTCATCTTATAACTATTTTTCAAAAAAGAAAACTACTTTTCCAGGTATGGGTATTTTCATTATAGAAGGTTCTCGTATGCCATGAGATTTGATAAAATAAGGTTCTCATTTGCACGTGAGTGGGAATCTTGCTTTCTTCCTTTAACTATAAATGTATAATCACTAAAATTTTCTATTTAGGGGGAAAAAGAGATTGACCTTTAATTAAACGCTCAAAGCCTCACCTCTCTTTTGCTTCTTCAACATCACTGGATTCAGAGAGCATATAAGAAATAAAGAAAGGAGATTTATTGGCGGTTGATATTTATTTCACTCAACCTTATCTTCCGCTTAAAGTGGAGCAAAATCAGAAGTACTGAAAACTGTTCTAATAGAACTTCGTCATAAAGACCAAAAAGCATCCGCATTAAGATATTCTAAGAACAAAAAGATACCCACTAATGGAAAATTGTATTAAATATTACCAATAATTTTTGTTTTCTTCACTAAAAAAGAAAAAGATTCCACTCTGTATTCCATGCGCCACTATCCTCTCTTTTACGTGCAGTCCTTTCTTTTTGGTTTAATGTTTAATGAATTTGTAGTACCTTTGTGGAAGGAGAAAAAAGTTATATTAGGACTACTTGTTAATTTGATTCAGGAATATTTCCAGGAGGAAAAATGTTGCAATCTCTAATTAGTTCGAATAAGAACAAACGGGCAAGTGAAGGTGAATGAAACGAATGAATAAGATGAACTAAGTTGCTGGCACCATTAGGAATGGATCACAATAAAGAGGGAACAAAGAAAAAAAGATGAGGAAAGTAGAAGAAATACAAAGTGATTAATCTTCTCCAGGACTACAAGCAAATCATCTTTAAATCAAATACTCTATCTTTTCAAAAGCATTAGTGCTTCTTGAAAAGACAAATGCGAGTTATAAATTCTATCATGGCTTACGAATATAGGTCAAAAGTTCACCTCCACCATGGCCACTGATGTCTCCCAATCATCGTTAAACAAATTGGGTTTTTGGATCCACATAACAGCACAAGTTCAAATAACTTAACTTTTTAATCTCGTATTAAATATTTGTTTTTGTTTCTAAGTTTTTTGATATCTTTAAACACAATTCTTTCATGAATTTAAAAAAATTTATCGATTTTCATTTGATTTCCTGTTTAAATCAACTTTTAAGACATAGCATATATAGAAAAGGGCTAAATCATGTTACACAGACTAATGTGTCATCTGTAAAGACACGGACACATTAATCCCGGTACTAGCTCACTAAGACAAATCAGAGTCTACTCACTCAAATTACAAAGGATCTTGAAAGATAGCCGAAGCAACATAAATAAAAGAAATAAGAAGAAAAAAGGTAATTAATATGAAGCAATCTCAAAGTACTTGCATAGGATGTCAATTAACGTTGATAAGACCACTTGTTACCAAGTGACATCCGTGCATAGGATTTGTCTATCGTACCTTGTTGTCACATTGAGGTACTAACACCACGCTCTTAGGAATTGCAAGTGACTACTTATTTAGAGATGTCTTGTGTAGATTGCTCATTAGTTGCCCCAACTTGTATTGTGCCTCACCCGAACAAGTCTCAGATAGTATTTAGAACATGGTTGAGAAAAGAACTAGCAAACTTAATACTAGCTCAGCCCCCTACTGCTACGCGGTAAATGAAGGTTAAGGCTTTAAACACCCTCTAGGTACCGCAATTCAGTATTGTGGAGGGCACAAGCAGAGGGATATTAAAGATTTCTACAATGTTGAGGTGAATTTTGGTTTTAATGATGAAATCCTTGAGAATTGTAAGAATAAACATCTAAGCCCTATCTGGGGATATTCCCAGTATGACTAACTTAGAGTTTAAATACTATAAACATGAGTAAGGTCTGGTTAACATTAGTTTAAGTGTTGTGTTGTCCTGTTTGACCAAGTTTTGCTTGGTTAAAGAAGTATTTGAGCTAAAGGAAGAATGACAATTCAGGGCTTGATGAATTGAGAACTTGAGGAAACTGAATTAATTGGTATTTTCTCTAACTAGCATGATTTAAAGTCGAGAGTTGCATGGTATAGAAGAAATCCGAAATTAAGACCTTTCTGCTCAGCCTAAATACTGCATTTTAATTCCTTTAAGTTTTTTTAATATATTTCAAATATGATAATATTTACCATATAGAATAAATAAATCACTGTTAAAACTTGGAACAGTAAGGACTAAGGTGCAACGGCATCAGCTAGTTGTAATATTTGACAAGATTATGATCTATGACAATGAATTTCATAAAAACTTAATTGATATTAAAAATTTAGATGGGAAAGAACAACAGACAAAGAAGGTCTGATCCATGTAACGAACATCCAATGAGAAGATAGTGAGGGCAAAACTGAAGACAGGATAGTGAGAAAACAGTAGTGTACCATAATTTTATTAGCCAACGAGAGCTTTGCCCCGAATGCTCCCATCCACATTTCTTCAGAAGATTCGGCTTTTTGACGAAATTTTCCGCTTCTGAGGACCCTCTCATGGCTGTAAAACTCCGCATAATTATTTTTAATCACAGATCCAACAGGAATGGACTGGGTTATATCGATAGTGCCTGGTACAAAACGCTCCATAAAACATAATCTGGTCAAGCTTGGTGCCACTTGGTTAAACCCATGAAGAAAATCGAAAACTCAACTTGGTCGCTAACTATAATCTTTAAGCTCTCACTTAACTCATTTCTGTACAGGCTTCAGAACCATGCATATTCAAGTAGCTATCAAGAAATGGATATTATAGAAAAATATTTCTATCGCTAGAATCTCTAAGAAACCACGGCCAGCAAATTTCATTCGACCTCACATAATTTTAAGTGTCCATTTAAACACCCTAAAACTCTATAGATTTCCTTCCTCTGTGAGTGCTTTGTATCTTTAGCTAAGAACTCATGGACACTATTTCCTATTTGGATTGAGCTACAACCAGGTATTTTTTCTATTCCCTTGTCTCTAGTAGCTCTACGGAAGTTCAAGGCATCCTGCCACCGCCCAATAGAAGAGCTTAAGTTCATTATCAATGTCAAATAACTTGGG